GTCCATGCTTGCTGTTTCAAGGGTCCTGGCATATAAGGCATACTGTTCTTAATATGTTTGCTCACCTTCTTGGCACTATGTGTTTTAACCAAGGTCTCTGAGAAAGGTTGTTTCCCCAGGTAGGGATTTTCCCCTGAAGTTAGGGAGGGAATAAAACCTCTTAACTAAGTGCCAGGTGGGTAATTAATCACTTTAACTACGAACAATCATGCTTAAGCTACATAATCTTTACTCCCTGGAATGGAGATAAGAAACGCCCTAACCTTTGTAATAGAGATTGATAGGATTGAATCAACTGGTATAAATACAGATGTAATAAGACAGCAAGACTCAGAACTTAGAATACGGAACCAAGAGAGACGGAACCTAGGCACAGAACCTACACAGAACGTTCTCTAGAGACAGAAGAACTTCGCTGGAGAGAACATGGCAAAAGATCCTGGACAGAAACTGGCCTCAGAACCTAGAGACAGAACCTAGCGAGAGAACATGGCAAAAGATCCTGGACTGAACCTGACTACAGAAATTGGCAAGAGAACCTGACTAGAACCTGGTAACTGAACCTGGCTGGAGAACCTGGACAGAACCTGGCTGGAGAACCTAGCGAGGGAACATGGCTACAGAACCTGGCTGGAGAACCTGGAGAATCTGGCTGGAGGACCTAGCAAGAGAACATGGACACAGAACCTGGCTGGAGATCCTAACCAGAACTTCGCTGGAGATCCAGACCAGAACTTGGCTGGAGATCCTGGCTAGAGATCCTGGCGAGGCTGCTGATCAACTAAACGCTGTCTCCATGTCATTCCTTCTTCGCCGACTCCGTCTATGCCTTTGGGGACCCCTGGACCTGCTGGGGCTGGACCCCAGCAGGTGGTACAAACAGAATTCTCCTCATAGTAACCTCAGTCCTGAAGCCTCATCAATCCCATGTGCCCCCTCTAGGTACACTGAGCATGCTCTATTCCTTACCCCTCTGTTCATGGTGGAGGCCAATAGGTCTAATGGGTTTCATTTACATTAGACAGAGAATACCCTCTCCAACTCCCTTCAGACTCCACTCTGCCCCAGTTATTATACTGGATGCTTCCTGCCTTTCCAGTTCAGTCATTTAACCAGATTACGTTCCAGTGTTAAGCATGCTTGATCAAATTTTCCTAGAAATTTGGTATCTTTGATTTTTACATTTCATTTTTTGCTTTTGGTGAGTTACTCCTGCGTCTTTCTTCTTTCCTGAGATATACTCAACATTGGGCTCAGATATTGGTTCACTAGAACATCCGTCTTATTGATGCAGGTCATCTGCTTAGACTCTTCCTACTTTAATCATATCACATACATAAGCACATTTCCATTTACTTAATCATCACCTTTAACTAAGATTAATATACAACATCATTTCTGGCATGGCAACTTTGAAGACCTGAGTTTAAATACTGGATAAATGAGTAATCTTGGGGAAATAATTTCAATCCATGAACTTATAACTTCCTCTTCTTAGAATTAAATATAAGTAAATTCTAAGTTACCATCATATCAAATTCTGAGATTTGACCCAAGAAAATAGTATTTAAAAAATAGTAATTACTATTAATCGATTATTTGTTTACACTTGTATTTTATTTCTAAAAGTTTTGTAACATCTTTAGGGGAAATCTAATCAGCACAAATAATTGTAATTTAATGTTAGAAAAAACATATTTGTTAGCATTGAGAAAAAAATAAAGAATAAAACATTATAAACATTTTCCAATCTCTCTTAAATTGCATAGAAAAAGACTAGAAGTAAATACACCAAATTATTGATTATAGTTCTTTCTTAGTGTTGAAATTAGAAAAATTTTTTCTCTTCAAAGAATTTGGAATTTTTTTAGTGTATCATAAGGACTTTAAAAATGTTTCTGTAGGATAGGACATACTTTCTAAAAGATTCCACTAATGTGCAGAAAACATTTTAGAAATCAACATTAGTAAAAGAGAGTCAACTTTTACTATATATTTTTGTTCAAGTAAACATGTTAATTTAACTTATTTCTATTTCCATAAAACTGGTTCATTCAATACCCACAATTCTCATAACTTTTTCTACTCTTAGTTTTGTAATAAAAGGAGCCAGTGTTGTCCATCAATCCTTTGCTGTGGCCTCTCTCTTCTTTCTTTTTTCATTTTTATTTCCACTTCATTGGCCAATTAGGAGGTAACACTTTATTGGGGTAGTTAGCTCATCATTCATTCATTCCTTAGGCTCTTTCATTTTTGAGATTATGTTCATATTCATGATACCTTTGTGATTAAATGAAATTCTAGCTGAGAATAGTATTTTGGGATCAGACTTTTCCCTTAACTTGGTAACATATTACTGTGGAATGTTCTGATGCCAGCCTGATAGTTTCTCCCTTCTAAAGAGTTTGCTTTTCTGCCAATACCCAAGTAGTTTTCTTCATTTTTTTTCTGTTAATTCTAGAGTTTGGACCTGGAAGAAGAAACTTTCCAAGTGTTCCGAATTAAAACAAAAAATTATTCTACATCTAACTTCCTTAGAAAGATATTAAGTGCTTTTCTGAGACATCTCAGTGGGCTCCCTAAGTGTGTTTACTCTGTGCCTTTTAGTCTTCTCTTATACTTATGAGAAAGTCCAAAATGAAGGGGTGTATCACTACATAGCTAAGCAACAAGTCAATATGTAAACTTTATAATGTTTTCAGTCAGTTAGATCCTAGAAACTATTTTCTAAATGCTTCCATATTTCACCATACATTAGTAGTACACAACCCCTTAAATTGAGTCATGGAATGCTCAGGTATAATTTGGTTATAACATGTTTCTTACATCCAGGACCCTAACAGAACTGGCTTCTTTGGAATGGACTTGAAATTACTAAATTCTAAGTTAACATCATATCTATAAAAAATACACAGAAAACAAAATATAGCTTTTAAAGAAAAGTTATAAAGTAATTTCCAAATAGAAGGAATGTTGGTCAACTCAAGAACAAAATGGTTAGGCAGGTCTAAGCAATATTTTTCTTGTGCCACATCACCCACCCTCTTTACTTACTTACTCAGCACTGCTTCTGCAGGTCGAGGCAGAGAGGGTTTGGGATGGGCTCGTTAAATTATAGTAGTTCTCTCTGTGTCTGAGAGGTAGAGTTTTAGAGCTTGTGTAGATGTTGATGAAGGATACAGATGCAAGTTAGGATGAGAATAAATGAAATGAATTACATAGATTTTGGGAGAAAAATATTAGACATCAACAATAGAGAAAGCCGAAACAATAGCAGAATGGGAAGAATAGCTGATCAAAAAAGACATATAGGAGAATCCAAAAGTAATGACATTAGGAGGGGCAACAGAAACACTCAGCAACTTCTACAACACCAGGCCCCCAGCAGGCTCCCACGAACCAAGGACCTTGCCTCAACCCAGCACCTGACAGCATCAGTAACCTTATGATACAAGATCCCAATAGGATCCCATGACCCAAGGCTCCAGGTTCATCCTAATGACAGCCTGCTGTAGGAGCCCCAGGTAGCTCCCATTGTCCACAGAAACTTCCTTGGTACCAGGTACCCAATGAGTCCCTATTAATCTAAGTTCCTCATTAACCCTGGTACCTCCTGGCTACAACAGCTGTAGGCAGCACCAATGGACCCAATTGGCTCCCACAGCACCACACTTTCAGCAGGTTCCTGCACAACCCAAGTCCCTATCTCACTTTGGTGCCAACCAGCTAGAGCAGCCCTAGGTGTTTCCTGTGGCCCCAAGGCAGTTCCAAAGGCATCAGCCTCCCATCAGTCTCTCACAAATCGAGGCCCAAGTTTCACTCTAGTTCCTGCCAACTCCAATAGCTCTAGACAGCTGTATTGCTCAAATCAGCTTCATTGGCTACAGGCTCTCAGAGAACTACTGTGAATGAGGTTCTTGGCCCACCTGAGTTCTAGCAAGCTCAGGCTGCCATATGCAGCTTAGAGGCCACAGACAGCCTATTGGTTCCAGTCAGACTCCTCAGCTCCAGGATCCTCGATGGCTCCCTGATCCACACCAGTACCTACTGGTTCTCTGCTGCTTTTCTCCCGCCCGTCTCCACTACCTCAGCTCCCTTGCTTGGCTTCCTTCTACGGTGTCTTCAGTCTTTACTCTCAGCCAGTATATGCAAATTAGCCGCCATCTTTGTTGGCAATTAATTTGCATATTGCTCTGATTAGCCAATGGTGGGCGTAGCGAAGGCATTGTCAATTTGCATCTTTGTATATGATTAGATAGGATAGTCAAGAAATGAAAACATCCCAAGTGTGCATCCAGCCATATGAAAGAAGAAAACCATAGCTTTTGCCACAACATGGATGGATCTTAAGGGCATTATGATGCTAAGTGAAATAATTTAGACAAATAATGTCAAATACTTTATGTTTTCATTTATATGTGGAATCTACTAAAAGCCAACCTCATGGAATAGAGAGTAGAATGGTGGTTGCCATGAACTACAGGGGCGGGGGTTAGGAAAAGTAGGGTGATGTTTGTCAAAGGGTGCAAACTGCAAGCTAGAAGATAAATAAGGTCTAGAGAATCTAATAAACAGCATCTTAACTATAATTAACAATACTATATTATATACAAAAAGAAATAAAAAGGAAGTTGGTAAGAGAGTAGATCTTAAATGTAATCACCAACACCAAAAAAAAAAAAAGTTTACAAAATGGTGTTAGCTAATCTCATTATGGTAATCACTTTGCAATATAAATGTATCTAATCATCACATTATACACCTTAAACTTACATATCTTATATGTCAAAAATAACACAATAATGAAAAAATTTCTTATTTAAAAATAAATTTTAAAAATCTTTAAAAGAATTATAATTACAGATGTTTATAACCACTTTAACATTAGCATTTGTCTGTATATACTTAAAATACATTACTATAATTAACCTACTTAAGGAAATCCAACTGCAAATGTAACAGTATGTGTTTTTGTTTTCTTTTCCTTGCCATAGGGGATCATGGACATCGAAGCGTATTTTGAAAGAATTGGTTATAAGAACTTTAGGAACAAAGTGGACCTGGAAACATTAACTGACATTCTTCAGCACCAGATCCAGGCCATTCCCTTTGAGAACCTTAACATCCATTGTGGGGAACCCATGGAATTGGGCTTGGAGGCTGTTTTTGATCAACTTGTGAGGAAGAACCGGGGTGGGTGGTGTCTCCAGATCAATCAACTTCTGTACTGGGCTCTGACCACAATGGGTTTTGAGACCACGATGCTGGGAGGCAATGTTTACAGCGTTTCAACTGAAAGATACACCAGAGCTATCATGCACCCCCTGCTGATGGTGACCATGGGTGGCAGGAAGTACATAGTTGATGCTGGGTATGGAAGCTCTTACCAGATGAGGCAGCCTCTGGAGTTAATTTCTGGGAAGGATCAGCCTCAGGTGCCGTGCATCTTCCGCTTGACAGAAGAGGGAGGAACGTGGTACCTGGACCAAATCAGAAGAGAGCAGTACGTTCCAAACCAAGAATTCCTTAATTCTGAACTCCTGGAAAAGAACAAGTACAGAAAGATCTTCGCCTTTACACTTGAACCTCGAACAATTGAAGATTTTGAGTCTCCGAATTCATACTTTCAGACATCTCCAGCATCTGCGTGTGTAAAAGACTCTTATTGTGCCGTGCACACTCCAGATGGTGTTTACTGCTTAGTGGGTTTTACTCTCATGCATCGAAGATTCAGTTACAAGGATAACATGGATCTGGTGGAGTTTAAGACACTGAATGTGGAAGAAGTAGAGGAAGAGCTAAAAAAGATATTCAATATTTCCTTGGAGAAAAAGTTTGTGCCCAAACATAGTGCATCTTTTTTTACCATTTAGAGCAATGAGTAATAAAGTGGACCAGTCCCCAAAGGCAAAGGAAGTAAAAATAAATGAATGGGACTACACCAAACTCAAAGGCTTCTGCACAGTGAAAGAAACCATCAACAAAACAAAAAGGCAACCAGCTTAGTGGGAGAAGATATTCTCCAACAATACCTCTGCTAAGGGGCTTATATCCAAACTATATAGAGACCTTATACAACTCAAGAACCAAAAAATCTAACTAAAAATACTTTCAACAATAAAGTTAAATTTTAGAAAATGAGCAGGGGATCTGCTCATTTTTATGTCTTCTCCCAAGAAGACATAAAAATGGCCAACAGATGTATTAAAAAAAATGCTCAAATTCACTAGCTATAAGGAAAATGTAAATCAAAACTTATGTAAGGGAGGGGGGGTAGTGCTGGGTGAAAAAGGTGAAGGGGTTAAGCAACAACAACAACAACAAAACTTACAGACAAAGACAACAGTATGGTGATTTCAGGAGGGGGAGGAGGTGGGTGAGGTAGAAGAGGGGAAAGGGGGATCTATGGTGATAAAAAGAGACTTGACTTGAGCCGGTGAACACACACTGTGATAGGTAGATGATGTATTATAGAATCATACTCCTGAAACGTTTATAATGTTATTGACCAATGTCACCCCAATTGACTTAATTTTCTTAAAAAGAAAAAGGAAAAGATCCAAGTTAGTAAATGCTGCTGAGAAATGAAGAATTATCACAAATATAAACTTCTAATTTAGTAATGAGGACATCACTGGTGACCTTCACAAGAGCATGCTCAGTGGGTAAGTGGGGATGACAGCTTGATAAAAATGAACCGATGAGAATATTCAAATAAAGAATCAGAAACAGTACTTATTAGTCAGTGAAGACTGTACTTTGTAGAATATAAGCTACTGGTCCAAACAGGAACATAAAACTATAATATATTTCTGTGAGCTTACATACCAAACTCACAGCAGTCAGTTGTTCAGAGGAGGCGCTAGCTTTCTATGTAATGCTTTGCTTTCTACTTTCTTTCTTTCTTTTTTTTTTTTTTTTTTTTTTACAAGTAAAGTGCACTGGATTACTTATATCAGCCTTCAGAGACTGTTAGTATTTACCTATATCCTTTCTCTTCCTTGTGGGCACATGGCTAGATCACATTTTCAATGCTCACAGCAGTTTGGTAGAACCAAGTGACTGAGATCCAACTGTGCTGGGCTGCATATCTGGCGCTTTGGCCAGACGGGTCATGCTGTGCTGTCTGTTCCTAAAACACATAGATAGGAAGGTACTGACATCAGGCCAGGCCTTGAGATATGGTCTCATGGCCCCTTCCCAGCACACAGGCCTTCTTTCTCAGGAGGCCTGGAAGTCTCATTCCAAATTTGGGAGACAAAAGACTGGAGAAAGTATAAATAAAGAGAGTTTCCTCCATACTAGGGGTCCAGAATTTGAAAGACACATTTTTCTCTGGGCCTCCACAAAATTTAATAATAAAATGTAACTCTTGCAGTCAGCACTGCAGTTCAGCCTCTGCTTTGGCAGGGTGCTGTAACTGTAGTCAGCTGGCCAGCTTAATAAAGACTCTTAAATTTAAATTCTGAGTCAGTGGTCTATCTCGCTGAGTGAACCCATAACACAACCAATGGAATATGACAACAAATGATAGGCACAGCTTTCAGCCTAAACCATGAATGCTTCCCACCAGTGAGCTCACTGCTATCTTTCCCCACTGGCTGATGGAAGAGACACTGAGGACATAGAGAAAGTGGGGCCACAGATGAAACGATCTGGGATCCCTGAACAACTGTAGGGTACAACATGGGAGGTAATATGGGTGAAAAATAAACTCTTCCTGAATTTTTCAGTGTTTCTTTGTTTGTTTGTTTCAGTAGCTGGCTTTATTTACCTTAACTAATATGATAAATAAATATATAATTAAAATTATATTTTTTCGGTGTAAATTGGACTTATAAAAATAAAGAACTACTTTTATTATGACATGGGAAAAATGAGAATTTGGGGAAGAAGAATTAGAATTTGGGGAAGTCTTTACTGTACCTAAGTAAACTGATCAATTTATTGCTCAAAGCAGGACACTTCTGAGAATGAAAGGGGAAACCACACATTATTATGCCAGGATAACAGGTATAAACCGGGACTGCCCCAGGCAGAGAAGCACAGTCATTTTACTCAAAAAACCATCCAAGATCTCATTATTAAGTAGGGAGTGTTTTTTCCATATATATTGCTTTAAAACAGGAGGTCAAAGGAAAAGTTATGGACCCAGAGATCCATGGACTGGGCCCAGATCATAACAAAGGACCTTGGACTTGCCAAATCTCACTGTTCTCAACCATCACAAGAACTTCATGGAGAGCAAAGTTTTGGTCCTATTCTTGTTCAATGATTGCAGCCAACCAAGGAGCCTGGTAATTAATTGCAGGAAACTCTGATATCTGACAGCTCTAGAACTAGTCACTTAGAGTGGTTCTGAACATGGGCTGGGCACACTGTGTGAGGAAGTCCCCACTCTACCACTTCCCAATTAGGTGACCGTGAGCAAGTTATTAACCAGTCTGAGCTCCACTTTGCCTGTAGAGTGGGAAGAAGAAGAATATTTCCATCAAAGGATTGTCACTGAGCACGCAATGAGATAAATAAGGTAAAGTGTTTTTAAAAATGCCTGGCACTGAAAACACTCCAGATAGGTCAGCCATAATGACTGCGATTGTCAGAAATGATCTGAAATGTACATCTCATTATCCTGTTGGGTGCTAGATGCATGGGTGTCCAGTGACCATATGATGAGGACTCTTAAAGAGAGACAGGAAGTTTGAGGCCTATATAGTCCTAACCCTAAGTCAATTGTTTCAACGCTGGTAGATAAAAGGAAAATGTCTCCAAAGGAGCATTTTCAGACATTTCCCAAAGGACCTTGCTCTTCCCCACATTACAGCCAGAGCATCTCTCCCCACTGAGATGGGGTGGACATGGCCTCTGTTTCCCCATGCCTGTCTGCTTTGCTCTGCAGCTCTCGCCTGACTAGAACCTCTGTGCTCATGTGGGGTCCAAAGGGCTGCGAGGTCTCACTGTGTCCCACTTGATCAGCACGTAGCCTGCCCACTGCTGCCCTCCCCTCCTCCTCCAGGACTCCCAGAGCCAAGTTTCTGAGACTTTACAAACTACATTTCCCCTTTTTACTATAACAGACTTTCCTTCTACTCAATTCTGTCCTTTAACATCCTCTCTCCTCTTACCATGTTCATTTCACTTTTTACTCAAGTTCCAGCACCCCTGACTAGGAGGTCCCAGAAACCACGGCTGAAAGTCACGATTCTAAACTGATCCTGACTATCCCCGGCCTCATGAAATTTGCTGCTTTTCTCAGATTGAAACCAGACACAATGGGTCTAGGACACCTGTCACTACTTGACCAAATTAAGCAGAGACAGGGGTGAATCATATATGAGTGTTTATTCCAATAACGCTGGTAGTATGGGAGAGCACTCAGTCACCCTGGGAATTCTGCTCTGATCCCCCCTTGCCAGTTGGCTGATTATATAGGCCTGAGGGAGAAGATAGCTATGTGCAGCTGTGAGCTGCAAGTGTAACAGAGAAAGCGGAGGGTAGGGTCTGTGGTTGGGCCTTCAGGAGTTCAAAGTCTGATAACAAGGTGGATAATCTTTTATGATGTTACAAAGGCTCATCCTGTTCCTGAGGCAAACTCCTAGAGGGGGGCAGGGTCTGTGCACAGCAACTGAATCAAAGCGTGTTCTGTCCTTGGTCTGTCCTCAAAGTGTATTTCTTTTATGAGTAATGGACCCATCAAGCATCTTATCTTTTTATGGCCTTGTTTCATCCTCCAGTTTCCCAAGGTCTGTAAGAAAACCTCTTACCTATAGTTAGTAAAGTGAGCAATTATGAAACAACTGTGGCTCTATTCTTATGACATGCCCTTCCCCACTATCAACATCAACGGTCATGTCCCTTAAACACAATCATGTCTGAAGTAGAAATATTATTTAACAATTTCTTTGAACATTTTAGTTAAAATCCAAGAATTCCAGATCATTCTGGAAATAACACAAAATTTTTCAAAGCATTCACCGGAATAGATCAAATATTTATACAAGAAATTGTTCCTTAAACTCATCTACAAATAGACGTTTCAGCACTTTTCTATTTCCTAAGTAAGTATTTTTAATTTCCACTTGGGGAACACAGTTTCAAGTTGAAAATTATTCCTAGATTCTGGCTTACTGCACACTATTAAAAATAATAACAATTTTAACCAAATGTCAGTAATACAAAGGCATACGTATACATATGGGGAAAACAGAAAACATGACAAAAAAATTACTTGGTAATAAAATCTCTACTTGGAGCCAGTGTCCACCATGAATGCCTTTTTCACACGAGGTCAGAGAAAAGAAAGCATTCCTCACTCCTGCCTTTACAAAAATAAAAGTATGTTCTTCAGCAAGGAAAAAGAAAGTACGTGAGTAAAATTAACTCATAGTGGAATCTTTACACTACACACGCTAATTCTAGTGCTTATTTATTAAAAAACACAATCAGCATTCTTTCAGATTGCCTGTGTGAGGGTGAAGATGGGGCCTTCCTTCTTGTTATCCTCATTACTACTGCCAGCTGCCTCTGTATCTCTGTCCCTCCTACGGTGAGGAGAGTGCTAGGTGACAGTTCATGTATTTCCCAGTTTTGCTCTCCTTCCATGAAGAAAACATAGGAAGTAGTGAGATTTCGCTTGGACGTTTGGATGGCCACTCTGCTGGGGGCAGGATTACATTCTGGAGCCCACAGAAATCCCTGCCCATCACCCCAGCTGCCACTGCCCTCAGACACCAGGACCCATACCTTGGGCCTGACTCTCCCTTGGCCTCAAGCCTTGTGATCTCAGATTCCTGGGACAGTTCTTGCTGGAGATTCCCATGGGTCAAAGTTCCCAGGATCAGGGGGACAATAGTTGTACTCGATTGAATAATCT